GGGTGATGAAGACCGAGATGCTGGACCAGAGGCCGTCTAGCTCCTCATCCTCGTCCTCGCTGCAAAATTCACCTGACACGATCACCTCTGTTGGGGAGAGAGAAAGAGATGTCAACTCCGACTCAGCCACTGGGACAGATAGAGCTTGGACTGTGCGTCCAACACCAACCCGCCTATCCCCTTCTCTACCCATCCTTCCGTCCCTCCACCATTCCCGCTCCAGACACCCCCAGCCATCCTAAACCACACACCGCTCCACCCATCCATTTCTAGATACGACCATCCATCCATAACCACACACCGCTCCACCCATCCATTTCTAGATACAACCATCCATCCATAACCACACACCCCTCTACCCATCCATTTCTAGATACAACCATCCATCCATGACCACAAACCCCTTTACCCATCCATTTCTCGATACAACCATCCATCCCTGACTGCACACCCTCCACCCATCCATCTCTAGATACATCCATCCATCCACACACACCCCTCCATCTATCCATCCATGACCACACACCCCTTCATCTATCCATCTCTAGATACAACCATCCATCCATCCCCACTCACCCCTCCACCAATCCATCCATGACCACACACCCCTCCATCTATCTATCTCTAGATATAACCATCCATCCATCCCCACACACCCTTCCACCAATCCATCCATGACCACACACCTCTCCATCTATCTATCTCTAGATATAACCATCCATCCATCCCCACACACCCCTCCACCTATCTATCTCTAGATATAACCATCCATCCATCCCCACACACCCCTCCACCTATCTATCTCTAGATATAACCATCCATCCATCCCCACTCACCCCTCCACCTATCTATCTCTAGATAAAACCCTCCATTCATCCAACCGTCCATTCCACACATCTTCACTTGCTTTCTCCCTTTGCACACCCTCTATCTCCCTCCGTTCCCACAAGAGAGGTGGCTCAGGATCCCTTAGAGGGTAAATCCATAGGGGTGTGCGAGGTGCTGGGATGCAGCCGCAACAGGGGAGCCCCCTAAAGACCAGGATGGATGGATCTCACGCGTGTACCTCTATGACCCTGATCCCAATGTACCTAAACACTCAGGAGTCATTTCTGATGGAACGCAGCCACCTCTGGGCCTGTTTATTTAGGGCTCCCTTGGGTGGCACTGGGACAGTGGCATCTGGTGGCTGTTTATAGAGCTGGTCTCTGGGCTGGCACTGAGATGTGGCCCCCTTTGGTGTGGGACACGGGCTGTTTAGATAGGGACCCCTTGCCCAAATGCCAAGCTGTAGCTGGCATGGGGTCTGCTGGTCACTGTTGCTTTGATGAACAGCCATGAGTAATTTAATGACGGGGAGGCTCAGGTTTATCTCTCAGAGGAAAGATGGTTTCCCCTGTAGCACAGCGCCCCCCAGCATAGCAGTGAGGGCATTGAGGTCAGCTCTGACTGTGAGGGAAGAACACCCCATATTGAGCCCACTGCCGTGCTCCCTGCAGGGGTGCATGGCTTCTGGATGAAGCAGGCCTCACTCCCAACGTAAAGGGGGTTCCGAGGATTTGGTTGGAGTTGGTAGCTGCTTCTTAGACGTGGGTGAGGTATCCCCATATAAACTGACTCCTGCATACCCCACCCCAGAGTCAGACATATCTCAGTGCTGGGTGAGGGGTCCATGTATAAACAGCCCCCATGTTCCACCCCAGAGGGGACACAACTCAGCACGGGGTGAGAGATTCCTGTAACACCTGTCCCCGAGACGGCTGCATCTTAGAGCTGGCTGCGAGTGGAGGGAGAAGTGGCTGCCTCTGGGTGCATGTTTGTGTCTCTCTGTGTTGTGTGTCTCTCTGTGTGTATAAACATGACAGCCCAGGTGGCAGGGTCCCTGGGTCATGCCAAGTTACATATGTGTCCATCTGTACCAGATTTCTCTCTCTCTCTCTCTCAGCAACCCCCGAAGTCTTCTACTCTGTGTGCCCCTCCCCGCTAGCAACTGCACTGCCCCAGGATAACAGCCCTACCACTGCCACTGCTGGCTACCCACCCTTTGGCACCATGTGCAGAGCACTGTGCTTGGCACTGGAGTCTTCAAGCCCTGCACTCACCCATCCAGCCCTGGGGCTGAGACACACACATGTGTGCAGGTGCCCTGTGGGGCTGCGTAGGAGACAGGGCTCATGTGTGGGGGCATAGGGGTATCTGCATCCTCTGTCCCACCCCACTGCCTGGGGCCCCCTATGCCACCCGAGCTAGTGAGACTTTAGCTGAACCCTTGCTTAGTGTCTGCTCCACATAACAGCCCTACTACTGCTGCTGCTTTGCGAGCACTGGGTGCCAGGAGCTGATCCCTGCTGTGGGGTGTTTGCTGTATGTTGCCCTATCACCCCCTCCCCAGCTACCACAGAGGGTCGGGGGTGGAGGGAGACCCCTTAGCCTCCTAGCCAGCAGGGGAGGTGTGTGTAGGGGGTCAGGGAATTTGAATTGCCCTCCCTCCACTGATTCTGTCTGGAAACTCTCCCTGCTCCTCTCTGGGGTGGGATGGGATGTGGGGTAAATGTTGACCCTGACACAGCGCCCCTCTGGTTCTAGCCAGACCTTGGTCTAGAGGACCTTGCCTCAGTAGGATCCTAGGGATTGCTTAGCCATCCATCCATCCTTCCTCATCCATAAACAGCCATCCATTCCTATATCTTCCATCCATCCCTCCTGACCTGTACCGTCCATCCATCCTTGCTCATCCCTAACCATCCAGCCACCCTCATCTGTATCTTCCGTCATCCATACGGATCTGTACCCATCCATCCATTCTTGTTCCTAACCATCCATCCAATGTCCCATCCATCTGTCCATCTGTCCATCCTCATCCCTCACCGTCCATCCATGCAACCCCATCCACTTAATCTATCTATCCCTTTCAGTATTCATCTACCCCTATCCTTCCATCACCATCGGTACCCATTGACACTCATCCATTCATTGCCATCCATCCTTTCCCAAATATATGTAGACAGCCATTATCATATTTCCCCATCCTTTCATCCCCATCTATCACTCACTCACTATGTGTAAGAAACCCTTCATCCATCCACCTGCCGATCCCCATCGGTACCAATTCAGTGCCATATGTAACTACCAATCCACCACCATTCATTTATACATCCATTCATCCCCATCTCCACCCATCCATCTATCACAGTCCATCCATTTATCCATCCATCAATCAATCCTTCAGAAAGTGTACCCATCCAACATTTGCCATCCATCCATCTATACCCCCCCCCATACACACCACTCTATCCATCCATACATCCCCCAACACACCTCTCTATCCATCCATCCACCCATCTGCAGATCCCCAGACATTTTTTCTATCCCTCTGCATCTATTTATCCATTGGCATCCACCCTCTTTGAACCATCCAACCATCATTCCCTGTGTGTAGTGCAGTCTAGTTTCAGGCACACTGGGTGGGACACTCAGGACACCTGGATTCTGTTTCTAGCTCTGTCATTGATATGCTGGGTAATTTTGGGCAGGTCCCTTCCCCTCTTGGTACCTCTGTTCTCCTCCTCTTTCTCTATTTAGGCTGTGAGAAGGACTATATCCTGCTGTCTGTGCTGTGCCCATCTCAAGAGGGTCCTGGTCTCAGTTGGGGGTATAGGGGTTACTTTAATCCAAATAATGATCTCCCTATTTCTCTCTTCCTCCTTGTGATATCTCTTGGTGTATTAGTCCTGCAATCTGAAGTATATATCCATCTAACCATCTCTCTGAACACCTGGCCTTCCAGCTGAGATTGGCTTGAATGTGTCTGTTCCTCTGCAGTATGTATTGTGTAACTGTGCATCTACCCCCTCTCTCCATCACTGTGTCCATGGTGTATATGTACTTGTGCAGGCATTCATCCTTTCTTCCATGGCATGGGCCCACATATCTACCCATCCTTCCTTCCATGGCATGGACCCACATATCTACCCATCCTTCCTTCCATGGCATGGACCCACATATCTACCTATCCTTCCTTCCTATGGCATCTACTCATATTTCCTTTCATGGCATCTATCCATGTATCTACCTATCCATCCATGGTATATATGTATCCACCCATACAGGATCTGGGAATTGGCATCCCCAGTCTTATAGGATCTCAGTTTCTCCCTGCCTGCAACCTGGGACCTCGTCCACCTTGGGCGACCCACAGATTTCACCCAGTCGCACCAGAATGAAGAGACCTGGGGGTAAGCTCAGACTAGTTCCATTTATTCACTTGTCATTGAGGGCACAGAGATTATTTACAGGAAGCTGTACTGGACAGTGCTAGCAGTGGGGCTGGGAGGAGCCGTCTTCATTTACCAGAGACTTTGCTGACACTGCGTTGGGTGAACTTCAACGAGAGGGCTTCGTGGATGACCATGCAGGTGTAGGTGTCCCCGCTGTTCCAGCTGGCCTTGCTGACTTTCAGCTTGCTGTAGAGGAAGAAGTTTGAGTCGCCGGCTTCGTCCTTCATGGGCGGAGTGGTGATATAGTTGGTCTCATTTTCACCTTCATGGTTCTTCATCCACTGCACTGAGATGTCCTCGGGGAAGAAGCCCCGCACCAGGCAGGTGAGGCTGACGGAGTCTCCTTTGCTGATCAGCTCCTGGTTGTGGGGGCGCAGGAGGTAGACGCCCGGGGCAGAGTTCTTGCCTTTGGTGGGTGGGGATGGAGGACACAGATGAGCCTTGCACATTACTCAGCTGGGGCACATATGGAGAAGGATGGTGTGTGTGTGTGTGTGTGTGAGGGTAGGAACATCCCCTCTCTCCTCCAGGATGGAGGGGCTGGGGACTGGGAGATGGTATCTCTGGAGCACAATTTGAGGGTGGGGATTTAGGGATGCAAAGGGACCCAGGGCCAGGATCCCAGGTTGTTGGGGGTTGGGTCTTCCCCTTAAGGAGCATCCCTCCCTGCTGGGGATTGGGATAGGGGAGTCTCTCCCCTTAGGGACCCTGCTCTCCTCCTACCTGGCTTCTTGGAGATGGATTTGATGAGGGGCGAGGGAAGGTCCGAGTGCTCCACTTTGCAGGTGAAGGTCTCTCCAGCCTCCCAGTCGCGGGTGAAGATGGGCATGGAGCTGGAGGCGGTGAAGGTGCCATTGAAATGCTCAGCGAGGGTTAGGGGATCAGGGACAACAGCTCCTGGCTTCTCCCGGGACCAGACCACCTCAAGTCCAGAGTCGCTAGGCAGGTTGACCACCAGGCAGGTGAGCATGGGGCTCTGGGCCACGTACAGGGCGGCAGGAGACGGGGGCACCAGGAAGACCTGGATGTTGCTGGGAGACGTCGTTTCTTCTGGGGATGGGAGAGCCTGGGTCAGCCACTAGGCCTGGTCTCCCCTGCCCAAACCCATCCTGGTCCCCCCTCACTCCTTGTCCTCTACAAAGCCCAGCCCAGTCTCACATGCTCCCCTCCCCCCTCGATCCCTGTCTGGTGTCCCCCTCTTCTCTCCAGACAGCCCGTCCCTGCTCAGCATCACCTCTGCACATGCGGGCATGGCCCTGCTTTTTGCTCCCGGTGCCCGGGTGGGACACCTGGCAGGTGTACGTCTTGCCCTCCAGCCACTCGTCCTGGGAGACACTGGCATTGCTGCGGGTGCTGAAGGTGTGGCCGTCGGCGTCCTTCTTGGCAGGGGCGGTGTCACTAGGAAGTAGCCTGGGTTCGCCGTCCACCAGCCATTCCACCGTCAAAGGCTCGGGGTAGAAGCCGGAGATGAAGCACAGCAGCTGGATGGCACCTGGCTTGGTGGTGCAGGAGGAGTGGAGGACGTGCACCTCGGGGGCGTGGGGTTCAGTGGGGATGGGCTCTGGGAGAAGGGTGACAGGGATTAGTTGTTGTACAGACCCCGCCTGAACCCCCCGCCTTGCTATCTGCAGCACAGGGCTCCCTACTGAGCCCTCTGCCCCTTTCTCTGCATTGCAGCATCCATCGCTTCTCTTGGCGTGGTGTCTCTTTTCATCCCTCCACCCTTCGGCGCATGGTCTCTCTCTCTCCACACCCAACACTATCTACCTGTCCCCATTCACTCCCATCTCTCTGTGGTGTCGCTCTCCATCCACCCACCCACCCACCACAGCGACTCCATCAGCTCACAGCACTAGTAGGCTCCCATCCTCTCTCCCTGCAGCAGTCACCAGAGCAGGGCCCTGAGAGACCCCCCAACCCCTCCCTTCCCCCCCGGGCTGCGCCGCGCCGTCCCTACTTGGGATTTCCTTGGAGATGCTGGATCTGGTGGGCTGGTGCTGTACGGTGCATCTATAGGTGTTAGACTCCCAGCTGCTGGCCGGGACGGTGACTTGGCTGCTGAGGGAGTAGAGGCCGCTGGAAGGTTGCAGCATGGAGGGATAGGTCTTCACGCCCGAGGAGCCGACGTTTGGGCTCCATGTCACGGTGACCGGCTCGGGGAAGTATCCTTTGGCCAGGCAGCCGAAGGTGACTTGGGATGTGGTGCCTTCGCCGGTGCAGGAGCTCAGGGGGAAGACATACGGGGCCGTGGTGCTAACTGCAAAGGGAGAGAGAGCGAGGCCATGAGACACAGCCCCTACCGAGCCCCTGCCCCGCTCCGTGCAGCACAGGCCCTAGCGTGGCACTGGGGCCAGCACTCAATGCCGGGGGAGAGCGTCCCCTAGCGGAGCCCCACTCTGCTCCATTCAGCACAGCACAGTTTGTGGTCAGACGATTGACAGTTGCAAGGTCTTATTAATGCCTGTGTGTAATTGGGTGCCTGAGATAGGCTGCCCCCCGTCTTCCAGGTTGTGTCACAGACTGACCAGGACCAGGGCCCGCAATTCACTTGAGCTGCACAGACCCTGTTGTACTAGCGATTTTAGCTTGTGTAAGAATATTAAATGTTATTTTCTCATTAGGTTCCTAGGTGGTAACATCATTGACCACTACTGGCTTGTAAGCATTTCTGTGGATCAAACGCATGTGATTAGATATCCTAGGACATCGTAGGAAGGACTGGGACTGTCCAAGTCAACCTGGGACATATGGGCCCTTTGGGTTAGAGTTCGGGTTATAATTACACATGGGGAGGAGGATTAAAGGTTAGCGGTTAGCGTTAGGTGCTGGGGGTAAGGGCTATAGGTTGCTGGGGTACAATTAAAGGTGATGGTTTAATGGTTCGGGTCAAATACCTTTCCACCCTGAAGTTCAATATTTGACGTGCTGTGATTGGATTTCTAGCCAATTTTGTCGCCATTCAATCATTAGATTCCTACCGGCTCTGATGCCATTTCTCAGAGGGAGTTAGTGAGACTCTTGGGTTCTCACCCAAGGGTGAGAATTTGCAAGTTCTGATAGTTCTTGTGTTGGGATGCTTGATACCAGACTGGAGGCACCAAAACTCTGATGCTCAGAGGGTCAAGATGGGGAGGTTCGGGTTAGAGCTGGGGTTATGGTTAGGGGTATAATTGGTGATTAGTACTTGTATCACAGTGGTCTAGAAAACTGAATCTAGGACCAGGGACCCGTCGTGCCAGGAGCTTTACAGAAAAATTACAGTGAGGACTCTACTGATCCCAGGACCATTGCAGCCTAGGCAATCTAAAGTCAGGATTCGGGGGATAATGTGGGGACGTTAGGGTTAGGGGTTGGGTTTGACGAGAGGGTCAGAGTTGGGGGTCAGAGTTAGGGAGTAGGGGTTAGAAAGCTGGGGTTAAGGATGAGGATAGGACTATAGGGAAAGGATGAGGATTAGGGTGTTGGGGTTAAGGAATGGGTGCATCTGTCGGGGGTTAGGATGCTGGGGTTAGGGTCACGGTTAGGGAGTTAGGACAGAGCTGGGGGTCTAAGTAGTTGGGTTTAAGATTTGGTTCAGGGTCATAGTTCTGGGGTTAGGGTAAAAAACTTTCCCTCCCCCAAACTCAGTAATCGACTGGTGATCACCACCCCTAGCTCACGACCTTTCTAGCCAGATTCCCACTCAAGAAACCACTCAGATTCTAACCAATTGGGATGAAGATTTTCTGGACACTTTCCCAAACTCTACGGGAGAAATCTCCCAAGAATTCCAGCTGCCCAATTTCTAGATGCCCAACTTGAGGCGCCTTGGGGAGCACTTACCGGGGTCTGCATCTCCAGTGGGCTTTAGCCGGAGACGTCAGAGCTCGTCCCCCCGGAAGGGAAGCCCAACGCGTCTCCAGCTGAGCGTGCCGCAAAAACGGGGCCAGCTCAGCTCTAAGGCCAAGTTAGGAACCTGAGCTCTGAGCTGTCGCCTCTGAGCTGCCAGTTCCATCCAGCCCCAGGCAGCCGAGCTCACCTCTCGCTGTGCTGGGAAGCCCCAGGCTGGGCTCTCAGCACGGACCATGAGCGCAGAGCTGGTGGAGGGAGGCAAGGCCGGCTCAGAGAGACGCGTTCCTGCACTCGCTGAGTTCAGGGGTTTACCTCCGACAAGGGACATGCCAAAGGGGAAATCTGTGCCTCAGGTTAGACAGTTTTTGGTTGCACATATTTGTGACTGGGCTAAAGATAGGAGCTAATAAAATCCCCTTAGAAACAATTCAGCTGCTCCCCCGAACGTCTAGTTGCAGCCCCCCACCCTGAGTGCCCCATGTCTTCTAATGGCCCTGAGTCCTGACCCCCAGCCTCCTGCTAGCCCAGCCCTGCGCTCCCCCCACTGCCTGTGCC